AGCACTGCCAAAAGTTAAATTGTATTCCCCAGCCCCCTTACCCTCTCATCTTTTTATTCTCAGTGAAAAGAAATAATAGCCTATATACCTAGAATACATAGAAGTGTTCTTAGTATATGTAAAAGAACAAACATGAACATAATAAAATCAATATGAAATAAATAAATAGGTACTGCAAAAGGCTGCATATTGTATTTACTGTACTCCCTTGGGGTGAATCCTACTAACTCAAAAAAGTTTATTTCTGCATAGACTCATAGATTTGCAGTGTACACCACAATTCTGTACTGTAGTCAACTGCCAGGTAACTGATGTTTCCTCTGTTTTTACGCTTTGAGAACTGACAAGCTACTTCATATGAATTATCGGAATAATCTACTATTATATTCTACTTACAAAAGATTGTTCAGATATATTACTTTCAAGCACTTTGAATATTCTAGAGCATAGGTAGTCCTCAACCTACAACCACAATTGAGCCCAACATTTATGTTGCTAAGTGAGAAATTTGTTAAGTGAGTTTTATTTACAACTTTTCTTGCCATGTTTGTTAAGCGAACCACTGTAATTAAGTTAGTACGATTGTTAACTGAATCTGGCTTTCTCCTTGACTTTGCTTGTCAGAAGTTTGCAAAAGATGATCACATGATCATCTTAAGTATGAACCAGATGTCAAGCATCCGAATGTAAATCACATGGCCATGGGGATGGTGCAATGGTCATAAATGTGAAAAATGGTCATTCATCATTTTTTTCAGTGCTACTGTAACTTTGAATGGTCATAAATAAACTGTTGTAAGTCGAGGACTACCTACTTTATACAGTAACCGAATATTACCTACCATTCTAAGAGACAACAGCCCTCCAGCTCATCAACACAAGCCTATTATTTATCAGACTCAATACCTTAGATCAGTGGTTCTCAACCTTTTTAATGCCGCGACCCCCAACCGGTCGTAAGTCGAGGACTAAACCGGTCATAAGTCGAGGACTAAACCGGTCGTAAGTTAAGGACTACCCAACCGGTCATAAGTCGAGGACTTTCCCTGCCCGGGAGCGCCGCACATGCGTGGTTCCGCCCCCTGCGCCGGCCAAGGCATAGCTGGGAAGCGGCAGAGACGGAGCAGGCCAACCACCAGCTGGCCCAGCTCAAGGGAGGTAAGGCACCCGCCAGAAAAGGGAAAAAAATGGCGGACAGCCTTGCTTGGTGACCCCCGTGAAATGGTCGATCGACCCCAAATGGGGTCGCGACCCACAGGTTGAGAACCGCTGCCTTAGATCATTGTTTGCTTTAATATTCACAGAACTGAACCTGGGATTTTCTCCAAGGAATCTTGAAAGGAGCTAGAAGGCCAAAGCAGCAAAGACAATATTACAGACCAGCTCCTTATCTATTTTTATTTATTTGTATCCTTCACTATTTTTACAAATAACTCAAGGCAGCAAGCACAACCAACACATCTTCCTCCTCCTCTAACCACATATTGCCACTTTTCCTTCCATTTGAGCCAAGAGGAGATCCTTATCATATTCTCACATTATACTGTAGCTTTATTATTGTAATTCGATTTTTTTTCTATAATCCTACATTGATGGTCATTTTCCATCTTGACAGGTTAAAAAAAATCTGTGCAAAAATAAATCCCTAGAAAGGCCCTCAAGTCAGGCTCAGTTCCTGGCAACTGTATCCTTAACTGCTTTCTTGACTTTCTTGTACAGAAAACTTTATTTTTTAATTGCAAGCTCATTAACTGTGATTTTATGGTTATGTCAACCAGGATTTACAGAATTTACCCAATTGGCTGGGTTTGTTTTAAACAATGAACCATAAACTAACCATAGAAGTCATACTTGCATAAGACTAAGCAAGGTAATTAGTTATTAAAGCCACAAGTATCATCTGAATTGGGACAAAACACTGAATAGTTATGACGGAAAATCTAAACCACACTTTGGAAGGTGGGTAATGATAAGCAACTTACCTCCAAAATAGCCCTCTCTTCTAGGTTTAGAGAGAGCTGGAAGCCTAGTATCCCTAGGCTTCCAGCTCTCTTCCATTCTTCAGACATGAAGATGGGAGGCCAAGATAGCTACTAAATGGAATTTCTCCAACCCCAATATTATAGAAACAGAAAAGGGATGAAGGGAATCAAAGTCTTCCCCTACCCTACCTACCATCAGGCCAGAATAGAAATATTTTTAACTGCAAAAAAAGTAGATACTGACAGTCATAAATGTGTCTGGAAGGCCAGCCTAAGATGGCCCCTCTCAGTATAAGCAAAGCTGAAATTTGGTTGTAGTGCTCTTTAGTTTAGTTCAGTGCTCTATACCTGGGCACATGTTTATTCGTAAATAGTACTGAAATAACTTACAAATGGTAACCAACAATGGCCATTGATTTCTGGAATTGAGAATGATTGCTTTGGAGTTTCCTCAAAAAGTCATAGCTTCAGATTGGCTGAAAGTTTCAATAAATGACTAACAACTTTGTTGGATGTTTATGAATAAATCAATTAGAAATTTTATTTCAAGCTATAAGTGTGTGGGGGGGAGATCCAGACTTAAATAAAAATAGCATGTGATCTTAAACTTACGTAGGACCTTAAACTTGCTCCAGCTAGCAGTGATTTCCTTAGGTTGCGAGCAAATCTCTTTCCAACCTTGTCAACAGGCGTGTATTTTTTTCCCCTCTCTATGCTTATTCTCTACCCTCCCCAAGAGCAAAGGCCATGCTTTGCTACTTATGTTAAGGATTCGCCGTTTTAACTGGAGTCGGGTGATTATTATTTTTTTTCAAAATGAAGGGTTCCCCCAGACATGCATTTTGCTTCGATTCAGGAGGCGCATTCACTCGCATTTAACTTCATCTCCTCTTACGTAGCCTAATTATTTGGGTTCAGACGCTGCTGAACCATAAAGGAAGTGCACGGGCAGGATTAATTCAATGTATCAGACTAAAATGGGATTGATTTGCTTAGAGTTCAGGATGTCGTGCAAAAATACCCACATCTGGGGTTAAGCATCTTAACCCCAGCTGTGGGGCCAGAAATCTTTCTTGAAAGAAGTTTTCCCTGTTGTAACGCATATTCGACGAACCTGCGGAGTAAAAAAAAAAAAAAAATCCAATACCTGATATCCTTTCTCTTCCCGGGCAGAACTTGCAAGATCTTGTTTCCACTCCAGCCATAGAGAAATTAAACGCAAGCTCAGGGAACCTGGTAGGTCCCACCTCTAGGAGCCTCTGAATGGCCATAACCCACGCCACTCACACGCACCCTCTCTTTCCCCTCCCCCGCTGCCGTTTCGACCGTTGACCAGCCTCAGAATCTCTTTGGAGCTCCACCCCTAGAAAGCTTGCCTCCCAGTTTAAGGCTGGCGATTAGCTGCTGAGCCTATCACTCACTTTTATCCCGCATGTTGATTGGCCAAGCGTGGAAAGCAGGGCGGATAAGAGTGGTGGTGGGGGGGGAAAGGGCCAAGAGTCGCTGGTGTTTACTGGGCGTGAGGTGAAGAGCGAGGGATTGTTGAGCGAGTAGAGGAGCTGCAGCTCTTCATCCGTACTTCACCCTCAACTTGGGTACTGGAGTTTCCCACTCTCGGAAACCTCTGCCGCTATGGGACTGCGGAAGAAAAACAAGAGTCCGCCAGTCTTGAGCCATGAGTTCGTTATCCAGAACCACGCGGATGCTGTGTCCTGCCTGGCCATGGGCCTCCTGTTGGGGCTCATGTTCGAGGTATCCTTACTATACAGGGCCGGGGAGGAAGCGGCAGCGCGCGGGCTCGAGGCACGCCCCCTTTCCTCCCTCCCCTCCCCGGTTCAAGTGCGGCCCCGCCCTTCTCTCGAGCTCTGGCGCTTCCTCCTCTCCTGTTACTGTTTTCCCTCAGGCTGCTCATTCTCACGGTCGCGCTCCCCTCTTACGTGCTGACGTACATAAGGCGTATCCTGTGCGAGGCTTCTTGGCAAAGGCCGAGCCTCAACGTCTAAGGCTCTAAGCTCTAACCGCTAGGCATCCTGGCTGGGTTCTCTTCGCCGCCGCCGCCAAAGAGCAGGGGAATTAAAGTGGCAGTCTCACTGAGGAGATAATTTGCAAGCCAGCCAAGCCGCTTTCGAAGGCTGCGGGGCGGGGGGGGGGGGAATAAAATATCATGGACCAATTTGCGATACCTGTAGAAAAATAGTTGAGTCTTTCGTTATTCCACAGAGAAGGAAATGGGTCTCGTTTAATATCGTACTAAAAAAATCATATGAAATGGGATGTACAGTGGTCTTTTTCCCACTTGTGTCCTCTTGTTTCCCTTTAGAACTGGTGACGGTGTTAGGACTCGGTCCTAGTACTAAATTTCAGCCCTGGAATACAATCCTGGGTTTCATATAAAAAAATGAAATGTTCTGAGAAGATGAAGAATGATTTCCCAAAACGGGTGGGTGGCTGGTTTAGGAAGAGTTTATAGATTGTAAGTTAAGTATCATAAACAGTCTAGACTCTAGAGCAGTGGTTCTCAACCTGTGGGTCGCGACCCCATTTGGGGTCGATCGACCATTTCTTGGGGGTCGCCAAGCAAGGCTGTCCGCCATTTTTTTCCCCTTTTCCGGCGGGTGCCTTACCTCCCTTGGGCTGGGCCAGCTGGTGGTCGGCCTGCTCCGTCTCTGCCGCTTGCCAGCTACGCCTCGGCCGGCGCAGGGGGCGGAACCACGCATGCGCAGCGCTCCCGGGCAGGGAAAGTCCTTGACTTACGACCGGTTGGGTAGTCCTTGACTTACGACCGGTTTAGTCCTCAACTTACAACCAGTTTAGTCCTCGACTTATGACCGGTTGGGGTCACGGCATTAAAAAGGTTGAGAACCACTGCTCTAGAGTGTGATATTGCTCCTACTGGGCTTATGTGATTATGCTTGGGGTTTGGTCCTTATGAATAAGCAGTAGCGTTAGGCATACTGCTGATCTTAATTGGTTTGATAGCTACTAATAGTAGATAATTCCACTGGAGAGCTTGGCGTTTGGTGAGTTTGACCATATTTATTTGGAACAAGATAAATCTCTTACAGACCCAATGGTGTATAGGAGAGTTAATGCTGATATTAAGAATTAAGTGGACTATTTTTTGCTTACACATTTCATTGGCAGAGACTAATCTTGACAGCAAGATACAAATGCAAGGTACTTATCCAATTGCATCCCCTATGACAATCACAGTCTCATGTCTTGCTGATAAGCTTATAAACAGTCACATCTCAGGGGTGTCTAAATTTACATAATGATATTCACTCCCTGAGTCACCAAGCCACAGAATGCAATTGGAAGTTTAATACCCGAATATTAAATATGGACGGACTGCCACAAGTATAAATTTGTTTCTTTAAATAAAAAGCTGTTATGAGTGATTAATTAAAAATGAAGCCTTGAACAATGCTAGGATTTATAGAAAACAGGAAGATAAATATATAATAAATTTGGTTTATATATGAAACCATGTCTTTTTAAGGCTTTCCCTGAATCGTGTTTCCCCTTTCCTCCACTATTAATTTGAAACTTATTATATGTTTTTTAAGTTGTTTTGTCATGTTGTTAATATTCTTCAAATGCAAACTGGGCCATATCTGAACTAAAGTAAAATTGGTGCTAAGAAATCCAAAGATCAGTCTGTTGAAGGAATTAAGCTTAGTTTAGGAAGAACTGAAATAATGATATAATTGGAGAACCTAATAAAATATTTGAAGAATTATCACAGGGATTGGCAGTCTTTTCGGATGCTGGCTGTTGGCTGCTACATAGAAAGTAGAGCAAGATTCTGACAAAAAGAAAAGGATTTCAATGCACTTTAGAATTTCTTTACCCAGGTTCTTCAACAGTGGAACAGGTGGCCTTGGCTTGCTAGTAGAATCTCTTTTGTTAGACATTTATAAGCAGAAACTAAAAACAGTCTTTCCTAATCCAGACATAGTTAATTGTATGAACTTCCCAGAATTCTCAGCAATGGCTGTGTTGACTGAGGAATTCAAAGAATTAAACTTTATGCATTTATGTTAGGAAACACTAAGGTATAAATTCCCACATTTGACAAGAGGTTGATGTAGATCAGGGGTGTCAAACTGCCGGCCCACGGGCTGGTTTCATCATACCAGAGCCACGCCCACCCCATTGCCGGCAATGGCGAAAAAGCTCCGATACGTTGCGTGACGTCGCGAGTTTGACATGCTTGATGTAGATAAATGGTTCTTAAAACATTTTAGTTTCATTCATTCATTCAAACTAAACATTTTAGTTATGTTCTTAAAAATGATTGAGGACCCCGAAGAGCTTTGACTTTGTGCATTATATCTATTCATATTTACACTACTAGGAATTAAGAGTGAGTCATGTATTTATATGAAGATCTATAGAACTCTCCAGACCACATTTTGAGAACCACTGATCCAGATGAATCCAGTTCTGTGTTACTCCAAAAAATTAATTGTTTTTGAGAGGGAACTCAAGTTGGCATAATGGGATATATCTTCTACTTTGTCCCCACAATAATAAATATGGTAAATTTGAATAAGAGAATGATTGACCCAAAGTTATTTTGTGATCATCTAATATCTTAACTAGTAGATTGTATTGGTTTCAGTTATCATAAAATTACTTATCCAAAATGGAACTTAGTACAAGTAGTCCTAAATTTATGACCAGAATTAGGCCCAATATTTCTGTTGCTAAGTGAGACATTTGTTAAGTGAATTTTGCCTCATTTTACAACTTTTCTTGCCACATTTGTTAAGTGAATCACTGCAAGTGTTAGTACCATGTTTGTTAAGTGAATCTGAATTCCCCATTGACTTTGCTTATCAAAAGGTCACAAAAGGAGATCACGATCCTAGGACAATGCAACCATTATAAATATGGATCAGTTGCAAGGTGTCTCAATTTTGATCGCGTGACTGTTGGGATGCTGCAATTGTCATAAGTTTGAAAAATGGTCATAAGTCTTTTTTCAGTGCCGTTTAACTTTGAATGGTCACTAAATGAACTGTTGTAAGTTGAGGATTACCTGTGTATCAGTTGATACCATCTTTGATGCTCATTGATCACCTTGGCCCTTTCAACTTTTTGATTTATTTTCAGAAATTATTTTAATTAAAAGAATAATTGGCATGTCACAAAGACTGGTTGAAACTTTATTGCCACTAATGCTTCTGGGCTACTTATTTAAAAATATCACTGAAGGAGCTATAGTTCAAAGCATTATATGCAAGCTGTGCAGAAAAACAATGTGAACAATAATAGCAAGAAGCATTTAGGTAGAAGGGATTGCAAATAGCTGTCTTAATTGGTTCTTTTTCCCATTACTACCATTTGAGAATGAGAAAATCTTTTTATTTTTTATTTTTTAATTGTACTCATTTGTAAGATTATAGATGTATGACCACCCATCTTAGAACCGGAACTCTGGATGGCTCACAACCATTGCATTTTTATGTACTCTAAATTATATTTATACACACTATGTATTCTTTCAAGTTCTTTTTCCTCTCTTATTAGCCAATAGTATTGTGTTACATGATTGATTGCATGTACATACAGTATATGCGTATCAAATGTTATTCTGAAAAGAAATAAGATACCAATGAATTAACTGGATATAAGACTCCAAGATGAAACAGTTGAGATTAAGGATAGGTGACTTCCAGATAATTCTACAAATGACTTAAATATTTCTCAGTAATTCCAAATCAGAATGTGTGTGAAGCTCAGAAGAGGAGTTGAAAGTTTGTAGGTGCAACAGGGTAGATAGTGGCAGAGTGCAGGCCAGCAAAAAGGCAGAGATGGGGGGGGGCAGCATTGCAACAGCTATAATTTCAAGGATCCGCTGTAACTACCATTTTGTTCAGCACTGTAGTAACTTTGGTCACTGAACAAATGCACAGCCATCAAACCAAGAGCACTTTCAAACAGTATGGTATTTAGGTTGACATAGAGACACTTGCTAACATCAAATCCTTAAAATGATTGGCCTAGAATAAAAGGCTTTCCGACTAGACAAATACCCAACAGTAGTCCTGACACAGGGCCAAAGAACAGCCTCAACCAGAGAGATTTGAGCTCCTGAATTCTATTGTAAAACACAGGCAATTCCATTAAATGCATTAAAATATCACACATACTGTATTTGATTGCCAGCTATACACCTCAGCCAAAGGGCAGCATTTAGAGCCACTAATCAACAGGACAGCTCACTTGGACCCCATCAATAGGCTGCCTTACTTCTTTCAAGATACATATGTGTGGGCAGTAAAAAAGACTGACAGGTTTATAGCTGAAGTCATTCATCAGATAACTTCTTAATTAGATCATTTTGAAGTTAATTGTCAAGGTGGTGATCTTATTTGAATATTTTACTGAACAGCTTTTCTGTGTCCTGATATCTTTTATTTGTATCCTGACTGATATGTTGTATTTATTTTACATTGCATTTTATTATATAAATACTATATTGTGATTCAGTATGATTGCTTGATTAATCAATAAGCAAGGAAAAATATGCAACAGTTTGTATTATTAGTCTTGATAATTATACTTTCAAAACCTATGTCTCAGATCTGATCCTTTAGTAGTCAATAAGATCATCTCCAGTCTTGTTCAGTTCTTAAATTGGCAGTTTTGTTAGGCTATAGAAATGCCATCACTGCTGGGAGGAATTCTACAACAATGAAACTTAAATAGTTGCAGCAATCATAATAAATATAAATTTTAATAGCAACTTCAGAAAAAGTGTATAGCAAAGAGATTAATAACTTATTTTTCTCTGTTTTAAATTTTAGGTTACATCCAAATATGCCATCATGTTTATAACTGTACAATACAATGTTACATACAACATAGGTAAATATAAAATCTGTTCTATGTCTAGTTTTCATTTTTAAAAATATTTTTCAGTAATGTCTTCTACATGTTTACTCAGACATTCTCTTAGATTATTCACCTCCAAATGTATATATGTGCATGTGTAGGTGTGCTAGATTATATGTAGGGTTGCGGTCTTAAATGATTTTGCCTAAATGCTACTGTATAGCCTGATTCTCTGCATTTTTATTACAAAATTCTGTTGTGCTGTTTTTCTCCAAATAATGAATATGTTATAAAAACATATTAAAGGATGTACAACATGAATTTATAGATTTTAAATCAGAATTTATTGCAGAGATGTAAGGGGAAAACACTGTTGAAAATTTGTTTTCTGCATGTTCTCCTGCTGTATAATAAGATTCTAAGTATAGCCTGTACTGCTATTAATAGTAAGATATTGTGCATTTCAGATGATGGATCTGACCCAGTTCATTTCTATGAGTATGGTCCAAAAGACATGGCCACCATCTTCTTCTACATGCTTATAGCCATTATTTTGCATGCAGTGATTCAGGAATATATACTAGATGTAAGTTTACAATTATTAGATAAATGTGAATATGTGAAATCAATTCAGTTCCAATTTCTTCAAGATGCACTTATTAAATAATATGCTCTACTATTGGATATGAAAGATATAAGATCCCATTTGATATAGTAGTTAAAGTACTGGACTGAAAATCGAGATATCAGAAAATCTAGTCCTCTCTTAGGCATGAAAGCTGATTGAGTAACTTTGGGCCAATCCCTTAGCTTCAGTTCAACCCAGCACAAAGGGTAATGGTTGTGGAAAAAAATAGAAATGTGAGCATGTAATAGTGCCTTGAATGTGAAAGCATCTTAAGAGTAATTTTAAATAGCACAGCTTTAAATATTCGGTTTTAATTGGTTTTACTTGGGTGGGGTTGTAAATGTGTTTATGTTTTTTAATATGTTGTGAGCCGCCCTGAGTCCCGTTGGGAGAAGGGCGGGATATAAATCAAATAAAATAAATAAAATAAATAAATAAATAGTATAGAGCAGTGGTGGCAAACCTATGGCACGCGTGCCAGAGGTGGCACTCAGAGCCCTCTCTGTGGGCACGCGTGCTGCCGCCAGCAGCTCACACAGGTCCATTAGGCCGTCGCTGCTGCCCAGAAGAGCGGCCCCACCTCGCCTCCTGCCCACCACTCCACCCGCCAGAGACCCCTTGGATCTCCCCCAACCCTGCTGGCCCCCACAGGCCTCCATCCCATGAGCAACATCGAGGTGGCCATGCTCACCCAAGCCACACCCAGTCTGCTGTGACCATCACAGCCACGCCCACCCAGTGAGCCACGCCCACCTGTCCCCCCTGAGGGCACCACAATGCTGATGCAGCCCTGGCACTTTGCAACAAATAAGTGGATTTTGGATTGCGGTTTGGGCACTCGGTCTCTAAAAGGTTCACCATCATTGGTATGGAGCACAGGTGTCAAACTCGCCTGTCAAGTGACGTGTCGCAACTATTCTGTCCCCCGTCCGACTCACACCCCCCAACCAGTCAGCCGAGGGCTAAAAGACTGCTCAGCACTGCCAAACACAGATAAACACTTGGCAGCAACTCCGTGGCTGCCTGCCAAGATCTTTACTGATAACTCACAGTACAAATACAAATCAAGTCCAGGATAATTCCGGAGTGCTACAACAGAAGATTCAGTATTGTTCGTCACAAGAGTTTCAAACGGCACACCCCTTGCTTATATAGCCTGTGGGGTGTGGCCCAGTGACTCAGCTGAAATCTCTGGCACGACGTTTTAGCTGCTGCGCACGTTTGTCCCTCCGATGCTGGCGTGGATCCAGCCAAGACGTATCCTCCTCAGAGTCCGACACACCTGGCTCCTGGCCAATCCCAGAAGCACCTGGCTCCTGGCCGATCCCAGAAACACCTGGCTCCTGGCCAATCTCCTCTCCGTCGGAAGACTCCGAAGGCCGCACCAGAGGGGAAGGTCCTGGAGAGGGAGGCCTGGCCATCTCCTCTCCTTCATGTTCAGAGCCTTCCTCCTCCGATGATAGGGACCCACAGGACGGAGCCACAACAGCAACACATCGCGACTTTTTTTGCATTGCCGGAGCTGGGGTGGGTGCAGCCGGCAGTTTGACACCCCTGGTATATAGATACAAAACCAATGTCTCAATTAAGATCCAAGACAAATTCATTTGGGGCATTGTATATAGTCTTGGGTTCTAGATTGGACTGTGAAACTCAAATGCCTGTGTGGCACAAAGAGTGGTAATTTGCTTTATACGTAGTTTGTTTTTCTAATACTTAAACAGCAGCTATTAGACTATGTGGGTCATACTTTAACATTCACTTGCCTAATAAGAAATATGAAGGGAAAAGTCCAGCTTAGCATTTTGTAGTATTGGGATATAAATGCTGAACTAGAGATAATCTAGCATTCTTCTTGGGGAGGATAACATATTCACTAGAAAAAATTGAACATGATTAAATTAATACTTCTGATGTTTGTTTGTTTTTTTCCTAGAAAATTAATAGACGTCTCCACTTGTCAAAAACAAAACATAGCAAATTCAATGAGTCAGGACAACTAGCCTTTTTCTACTTATTTTCATTTGTATGGGGAGCAAGTATTTTGTCTGCAGTAAGTAAGTCAAGTTATCTTTTTGGAAATTAATTTAAATGAACATTTGCCTAAAATATATCAAATCCTTTAACCTTATATTTTTCTCCTTAGGAAGAATTTACAACAAATCCAACTTTGTTATGGAAGGATTATCCTCATTCTCATATGTTGTAAGCTTTTTTATTTGTTCTTTTATTTGTGTTAGGCATTTTGCTTGCTTGTTCAAATTAACAAACATATCTAGGTTATTAATTCCCAGGCATCTGAGTATTAGAGATGGAACATGGGCAGATCTATGAACCAATTGTCAAGGAACTATTTTTAAAGCATTTATATTAGGATATGAATGTTTTTAGACAGTGAAGTCTACAAAGTGTTAATTAGTATTAGACTCTTTTGGCATGTATATTTATGTATAAAAATGTATGTGTAAGTTTCAACTAGTCACCTGTACATTGTTCTTCCAACTGCTTGCTGCAAAAGTCTTTACAGTTAGTATCTTATATCTCTTACTGTTCTATAACTATTCACATACTTTATCTTATATTATTTTCTTTAAAAATCCTTCAATTTAAATGCAGATTCTAGTGATATTCACTGTGTATTTAACTTCTAGTCTTGATGTCCTCCTCTCTACCTGCCCATTCCTTGTCCAAAAAGAATGGATTTTTTTTTAATGTTAACACTTTCTTGAAAATGTTTGAAATACTTTATTGAGGTTTAAGTTTAGCCATTCCAAACTTGCCTTCCAATCTTAGATTACAGAGGGAAAGTGGGAGTATAAAAACAATGTATGAAGTTGTTTGAACAATTTTGGCTTACCTAAACAATTTAAAATTGGGTTCATGGCTTTTAATTCTTATGATGATTTGAATGGCAATGATAATTATTGAATGCTATGTATACAGCTTTTATATATATACTTTTCTTTTTAGTTTTCAGGTTAAATTCTTCTATATTTGCCAAATTGCCTATTGGCTCCATGCACTTCCAGAACTGTACTTCCAAAAGATTAGAAAGGTATAAATGGTAACTTTAATTCAGGCATTATATTTCTTTTATTTACTTTCATTTATAATAATATAGCATGATATTTTAAATAAGGAAAAGAAATAATGGAGAGAAAAGTACTTCCACCAACTTGGAATATATTGTTGGATAGGTAAGATAATGCAATATATTATTTTGGCTTTCAGCTTATTTATGCCCTTGTTAATGGTGCTTTTGAAAAAAAACTGATTGAAAAACTTCCTTTCAATAAGAAAGCTATTCATAAGTTATTACAATGCAAAACTGTACAGAACAAGGAAAACTAACACATATTAAAATGTTTGCTTTTATTTTTGTAACATGTTTATCTTTTCCATTCCGTATTTCTAGGAAGATATTCCAAGACAGTTGCACTATATTTGTCTTTATATTGCCCATATATCTGGTGCCTATATCTTGAAGTAAGCATTTATTTATTTATTTATTTATTATCATATTTCTAGACCTCCATCAAGGATTTATCTTTTATATTGTCCAAAATACTGTTCAATATATTACAGGTAGTCTTCAACTTATAACCATAGGCTTAGTGACCATTTAAAGTTACAACAGCACTCAAAACAGTGACTTGCAACTGTTCCTCACAATTATGACTGTCACCGCAACCCCACAATCGTGATCAAAATTTGGGCACTTGGCAACCAGATTTGCTTAACAACCATGGCAAAAAAGGTTGTAAAATTGTGTGTGATTCAATTAACACCTTACTTAGCAACCAAAATTCTGGTTTCAGTTGCAGTCGTAACTCAAAAACTATTTGTCAATATTCTATTAAAAAAATATTTAGTATTTTTGTGTCATAGTTAATCTATCGGATTTGATCATGGCTTTACAAGCCATAGAATGCTCATCCTGATAGCACAACTAATTCTCTGATATGTAAGATACACTGAACCTAATTCATTGCTGTTGAACATTGTTAATGAATGAATACTATTCAGAATGAAATATTTATTTTTACTGTTTCAGCCTTCAGCGCTTGGGTCTAATTTTGCTGATACCTCATTATCTTGTAGAGCTCATTTTTCACGCTTCACGTCTTTTCTACTTCAGTGATGAGAATAAACAGAAAGGGTAATCTTGTTTTTAAATTTTCATGTTACTGTCAGATAATTAATTTAGTTTCCTTTTTTACAGTTTTCTTAGTCCTTGTCAGCCTGTAGGTTATTATTTCTTTTACTATATTTGCAAAAATAAAAAACATTTTAGAATCAGATTACTTGAAAAACTTGTCTTCATTTAAGATTGGTCTTAAAGGTCTTGCTTGTAGTATATCACCAAGAAAGATCAAGACTTTTCACAAATAACTAAAATGATCTCTACCCATCATCCACTCTTCATTTTCAGTGGAATTTCTAAAAACATTTCCTCCAAATTTAGTTTCATGCCCTGTTGAATAATTTTGTATCAACTACTTATTTAATCCATTTTATGATTTCACTAATAAGCATTGTTTTGCTAATGTAAGACATTTTAGTGCCACTGGGGTATTTTTGTTTTTTGGGGAAAAAATTAAAAATTTTGTTCAAAAGCACTTAGCCTTCCTGAAAACTTCATACAAACATACTGATTTTGCAGACATTCTTCACAGACCTAGATTTCTCACTTGCTAAATACATGTTTGGTTATTAAGAGTACTTTTGTTCAACTAAAATTAAGATTTGAATTTTATTTGTCTTATGCCTTTAAAATGATTTGCTTTCTTCTTTGGCTTTTATTCTATGAGGTAGTTACTGTTTTTAAAAGTAATGTTTTCTGTTATAATGCCTGATGTTATGGATATGCTCTTACAATGTCTAGTAAAAGTATAAGGCTTTTTTTATTGGTCATACCCATGATACAGCTGTGCTCATATTATTTAGTGATATAAAGCAACTGATAGCGAAATAATTGTCTTTTTTTTTCAGATTTACCCTTTGGGCACTTTTATTTGTAATGGCTCGTCTTTTGACCCTGACTTTGTCAGTTCTCACCTTTGGATTTGGTCTCACAAAAGCAGAAAACTCTGGCTTTTCTGTAGCAGAAGGAAATTTCAACATACTCACAATTAGGTATAAGTTTTAACGGAATAGCTTTTTTAGAATATTCTTTACATTCACAGTAGTAGAAAATTGTGGCTAGGAAAAATAGTCTTTCTTTATTCTTATTTCTATTTAAACTACCATTTATTTTGGAAGATAACATGTAAACCTATCTCAGAAACTTTAAGTCTATTCTTATAATGTTGGTCATATTAAACAATCATAAGAATGCATTACTGTATTCTTTGTAACATATGAAACTTCAGCATTTTATGTGCCCTAATAGCAAACAAGGTACCACTGTAAACTTCATAGCTATCTTTATTTTTCCAATACATGCCTTTTTTGAGGGCAGGAAGGATGCCCTCCAATCATTATAGTTTCCTGACAACAGTCTAAACTAGCAGTTTTCTTGGCAACATTTTCAGAAGTAGTTTGCCATTTCTAAGACAGAGAGAGAGTGGCTGATTCCAAATCATCCAACTGGCTTTGTGCCTAGATCAAGATTAAATTTCAAAGCCTCTTGTTTCTAGCCTGGTACCTTAACCTCTAGACCAAATTGATTCTCAAATGCATTCAAATATATATATTCATGTTAAAGTTTTATAAATAAAACAATTTAAATAACAAAATCCAATTTTTATATATCGTCTGTTCATATACTTTCTGCCTTGAATGCTTATTGGAAAAGAAATTTTCAGCTATTTGATATAGCACATGCAAATTGGAGCAATATTGATGCAAAACACAGTTTCCAACTGTAATAGCCATGATCTTAAACATATGTCATAGTATCTAGAAATGTATGCTCTTTAAAGACATATGATATGTGCTAGCCTATGATCAGAAAGCATTTGGATTGTATGAGTAACTTTATTTTTTGGATTGTCCATCTTTAGAGATGATCTCAAAAACCATAACACTATTATTCTAACTATATAACTTTTTTATGTTAAACTAATTAGAATTAGCTGTCTGGCTGCAATTTGTTTGACTCAGGCTTGGATGATGTGGAAATTCATCAATTTCCAGTTAAAGAAATGGAGAGAACATGCACAGAATCAAATTCCTAAGAAAAAAACAAACACAAAAATTAAGTCAACAAAAAAAGAGTCCTGTAGATGTAAGTATAGCCCTCATATTTATACTGGTATCAAAATCACAAATGTACATTACTAGAGTGACAGTTGCTAGTTAAATAACACCACTTTGTTTCCTTTTTAAATATTGGATGGAGAATTGTGGTATAGAATGTTACTGTTACCTCTAAATCAGACATGTCAAACACAAGGCCCGGGGGCCGGATGCGGCCCGTGAAGTGGTTTCATGTGGCCTGCGAAGCCATCCTGGAAACAGTGAGGGAACGGCCCCCGCTGCCTTGGCCCTGGCCCAGGCCGGCCAGGAGCCAATGTACAATTTTGTGGTGGCCATCTATGCTGAAACATATTCAGTCTTAGCTCCACAAGGCCGTCTAGAAACAGCAAGGAACTAGCCCCTGCCGTGTCGGCCTCGCCCCCTGGGTGCATGCTGGGGAGGTGTCACCCTTTGTGAGGAATGAAGAAATGGACCATGTCTTGGTGCTTGCCCCAGTCCTACCCCCTTTTGCCAGAGACCTTCAGATCTGTCCCACTCCTGTCCAGGCCCCCACAGGCACCCTTGACGGGAACGATGTAGAGCTGGCCATGCCCATCCAGTAGGTCACACTCACTCCATCCACGCCCACCCAGTATGCTGCACCCACCCTGGCCACACCCACCCGGCCCCCTGAGAGCAACCGCAATGCTGATGCGGCCCTCAATGAAATTGAGTTTGACACCCCTGCTCTAAATGATCAAAATCTGACATGATTTTTATATAATACAAAGTTAAACATTTATTTACAGATAGTCATTTTTTAACAACCACAGTTGGGACTGACAACTCTGCTACTAAGTGATGCAATAGTTATTAAGACATCATATGGCTTTATGACCTCTCTTTCACCACACCTGTCAAGCCACCTGTAGTTATCTGCGATCATTAAGCAAGACCTAATTGTGAGTCGCAATGTTACTGCTGCCTTCTCAAATTGATTCTGTTAGTCGCAAGATTATTGTAAAGCATACAAATTATGATCATGTGACCATGGAATGCTGCAACACTTGTGAGCACCCACCGGCTACAAAGCGCCCACATCTTGATCGTGTGACTGGTTACACTGCAAAAGTCAAAGGACCATTCACAAAGTTACTTTTTCAGCACATTCATAACTTTGAACAGTCACTAAACCAGGCAGTTGTTAAGTGAGGACTACCTGTATTAAATTATTAAGTAACTCTGGGCAGTGTACAATGTTAAAAATATTACTAAAACTACAAGCAGAAAAACACAGGCCAGAAGCCAATACTGCACATGGGAGTGATAACACAGTCTAATCTAAGACTTGGGAAAGAGCCATATTTTAAGGGCTTTTTCAGACAGGTTTGAAATAGATCTTTGAGCAAATGTTCCTTCAGAGGGTAGGGACGACAACAGAAAGGCATGATTCCCAGTTCCAATTCATACAATTACTTATTGGATGGGATCTGGAGCATGCCAATTCTGCCCAATTATACAGGAAAGACATAAAATATGGAAGGTGACATATTTCTGCAAATTTGTATGCAGATTTACTAATTATGTACAGTTGCATACTGATTCAGAAAAAGTAACCCTTTCAGATTATTCAGGTAGAATTATTGATAGTGCCCCAAAAGGTAATTGCCTCATTAGGTGTATAATTAGCCAAGAAAGGTGTCCTCATTGGCAAACTAGCCCCACCCTCTGAGGTGCTTTCGTTCTGAGAAAATACATTCCTAGGAGTGAACAGTGATTAGAAAATTTCTTACTGCTTCTACTACTTTTTCATTATCAACGACTTTCTTCCTTCTACACTAGCCCTTTGGGAAACCATTAGAGAGTTGAGGGGAAAATCTTCATCTTATATGGGCTAAATACAGAAAGTGAAGCCAAACAAAAACTTTGGGAGTCAGTATTTCAGCCAAGTGGAAATAGGTGCTAGAAGGCCATTGGTCATCCTGGAGGTGGTTACTGGATTAACTAGAAGATCTCACCTCCACTCTATTATATATCCCTCCTCCATCTTAGCTATTTCTCGTTAATTTTAATGTATTTATTGCTTCAGTGTTGTATTGTTTTAATTTTTATACTACAGATTTATCCAATTGTAAACTACCCAGAGTTGCATGACAGCAAGATTGACAGCAAATAAATTTAATAAATCAATAAAATAAATAAAAAATAAAAAATGGTTAACTCCAGAATTTTTAATTTTTTTTGTTAAAAGTGCTAAAAAGAAATTAAGTTCAACACAATACAGTTTTAAAAATATAAAATACAGACAAAACTAATTTACTAATCTTGCCTAACCCCTCATCTAAGACTATCATTGACCCTCTCCAACCCCACCCAACTTTTCCTGCTCCAAAACCTGACTGGATCCCCTTCTTTTTCTTTATTGGCCTTTAGGGGTCAGGTGATTATTTCTTGGTCCATGAAGCCGTTTTCTGATTTAAATGGTCACTTGCTCCCCATGACATGTCAAGGCAATTCTACAGATTAAACTATATTATAACCTTTCCAGCTTCTCAAGATGTGAATATTGTTTAATGGACTCTGCTAAGCAGGTTTGAATTTGAACACAATTCTCTCAATACAGGAATCTGTACAGATATTTTTTATAAATGTTTTCAGCTAACTATAAGAATCACTTATAAGAAATGGAAATTACACAGAACTAGTCAGGGCAAGAAATACTTACAGGACTTAAAGTACAAGTTTTGGAATGATGTTTGTGGTCCTCAGATGATTTCTGAGCTAAAAAAGTTCTGTAAGGGAGAGTGGGGAAGTACATTCAAAACCCAGAATAAAAAGATTTGGAAACTATCATTTCTACCAAAAGAGTTATTATAACTGCCCCCCCTTTTTTAATTTGAATTTCCAATAACAGCACATAAATAGTACACGCTCAAGTTTGTAAAAAGATGTTATTTTTAACTTTGTACCATGTAGAGGTTGTGTCAGGTTCCATTCAATCACAGATTAAAACTAATTGTCCAGAGATGCCTAAGTTTCTGCATACAACTATTTGCTAATCCACCAATATAGGCATAAAGGAGTGATGGCTAACCCACAGTCTTCCCAATCTTTTGTACTTGCTTTTTTGCGATTTAGGAGTAAAATGTGTACCTTAAATTTGTGCAACCTTTAAGGCCTTATTTTGTCATTAACAAAACAATCTAGTCCTGCACATGATCTCCTCCATTTCCATTGATTACGTTTTTTGTTGCCTCAGGTAAGAAAAATGTGTAGCTCTGATCCTGTTAATCATTGGCCACACCTTATCCAATGTTACATAAAAGATTGACTTCACTCCTTGTGTTAGAGTAGGTTATAGAAGCAAAATGAAGCAGAAGCCATTCTCTCTATGAAAAACATTATTTGATATAATCCACAAAAAGTATTAGCATTCCTAACTTAAATATGTTGTATGTGTTAAATATCTTCAATTTGCTAACTTATACTTCTGAAATAAAAGCTTTGTTTATTACATATATAGCTATTAATACCACCTATCCCAATCCTAATACTCTGTTTATCTTTTTTTTGTGTGTTATAGCTAACTTCGTAAATGGAACAATAAAATCTGAAGAGGGCATATCACCTAGGAAAAGAAGATCAAAATTTTTGTGAAGAGCACAGATATAGAGGACACTGATTTAATTGAAGACTTTCTCACCTTAAATAGAAAATCTGAATCACACTGACCATAGAACAACTCTGTTTGTCTATTTGGGCTAAAGAACATTGGTTAAAATAATATATTTTTAAGTGTATGCTCATCAAAACAAACTTACGATGACAATATTATTTTAAAATCATTTATTTAACACAATCATCTTGAAAATAGGATATTTTATTATAGCCTGACCTCTAATTACAATGCTGTAATATTAATAGAACAGCATGGGGGAATCTAATAAATCACAGTTGTCTTTTATTTGGAACTTTATTTCATTGTATAAAATGTAATTTAGAATTAAAGTTAGATTTATTTTGCAATTTTTTCCTAAATTTTCTATTATAAAAGTGCTTGAAATTCCTTTTTAGGTTAGAGAACAAATTATTATTTTTATTATCTCTCCATTTGGTTAAAGGAGTTGTCATTAGAACATCAGTTAATACTATAATTTGAGAAAATGTCAGTTTAGCATATCCAACAATGTGCTTTCAAACAATTCCCATCATGTAATAATTTAATGCTTAATTTTGAAGAATGGAATCCTTTTTAATTCCAAAAAGCTGGTTTTATATTAATGGATTCTGAATGTAAAAATTTTTTTTGAAACTACATGCTTCTTCAATATGGTGCTAAAAAGTGCTGGTTTATTTAGAGATCCATGAAACTGTTATATAATTAATATTTAATTTGCAGAACTTAAAACATTTTGAAATTATTTTCCTAGTGTAAAAAAATGTCAGGTTGTAACATTAGATACGAAAAAGACATTTATAAATCCTGCATTTTTGTCAGAAAACAATATTAAAAATACCAGGCCCTGCAATATAATTTTGCCATTTGGTCTGATCCTCCATCATACCAAAAGCTTTTACTACCAAATAATAGCTTTCCTTGGATGCTTATTGTAATAGCATAAATGCACATATTTACTAAGAAACAGGACATTTTTGATTGTGCCAAAATCTCCTGTTATAATTCTTTCAAAAGGGTAGGACAACTGGTGCCTTCCAGAATTAACCATACTAGTTAGAGGTGACAGAAGTTAAAGTCCAGAACATCTGAAGCAAACCAGGTTTTCTTCCTTCTTTTGGAAAAATGATTTTGTACTTGAGATAAACAATTGATTGGAATTCAAAACTATACAGCTTTTTGGAAATTGCTTTTATTACCCTTGTAGACTTTGCAACCTGGCATGGAAAACATTCAAAGTGGATTTTTTAAATACCTGTATGTCATGTCACATAATTTACTGGACCTGCTGTTAGAAGTTCTACTGGATTCATAGAATTGAGTTCATGATTCTTTATATTATGAATATAGACTTCTAGATTTAAAACAGTCGTACTATTTTCAAATTTCTATTTAAGGATTTTCTCTTCTGCTTTCTCAGGTTATCTGTTCAAAACTGGAATAGTCTTTGTTTAGTTAAAGTGGACTAGTTTGCAGTTATGAAACCAGAGTTCAAACTCCATGGCTACTTTATAATTCACAATGAAACAATTAGAATCTTGTCTGTTTGTAAGTCTTGTAGCACCAGCCGCTAATCAAAGAATAAAGGCCATATCCTTGTTTGAATTTCTAAAAGCTCTGATAATTGCTTAAACCTAAATGAATTCTACAAGTGTCTATTATCAACCTGGCATTATCCCTATGAGCTCAGACTCTGGTTCCCAGAATTTCTATCAACTTTATTTATTATTATTATTATTATGGTAGCTGGGATATTTTGAGTTATAGTTCCAAAACATCTAAGGGATACCTTTTGGGAAAAGGCTGCTGTAAAGACTATAGAGAAATCTTCACCAATAGAATCTTTGGGAGTCTCTCAATATCTCTAACAACTGGGGATGTTAGGAAATATAGTCTTAAATATTTGTAGGTCATTGGATCAGAGAAGGCTGATATAGCAGTTCAGTCTACATATTACTAAAATTATATTTGTTGTATATCTTGTTAGTCTGATGCTCATCTTGGCAGGCATTGCCATAATGTAAGAAAATTCTACTCAGTTAAATTAGGAATAAGAAGTAAAGTGATAGATGTTGGGGGCTGCAATTCAAAAATATGACTTGCATATTTCCAGCTCCTGCTATATGTATAGTAGTTTTCCCTTTCCTAGCACTTTCAGATTTTTGGATTGGTAATTAAAGCCAGCATGGCTACATTGCCATAGAGAAAATGAATTGCCTTAACACTGCAATCTGGGATATTCTAGGCATCAGATTTTGGGGGGGTTTTTTTTAGATAACTATAGGTACCATAAACATTTCACATTGTAATATTAATAGATTCATCACTGGGAGCACAAATAGCAGAAGTGCCAAAGATGTCTGTTTTATATGGACACTGACTATCTGTTACATTCCCCATTCTAAATACCTTAATTATAGCTAGCTATTGTTTTTTACGATTTGCCATACTTGTTAATAATGTTTGACACTTAAAGTACTAATAAGAAAGAGTTAAAAATGGTTCTCTAGTTCTGACAAAAATGTTTATGATTGATTTGGAAGTCAAGATAGCTGCCTCACAATCCATTGTGAAATTACCTCGCCTTGCCTCCTGACCATGTTCCTGTGACAAACAAGTGGCTTACATTTTTTTAAAATTTATCAGTAGCATTCAATAAATTCAATCACATGTATTTAGATGTTACTATATAGATAAAATCATTCTTTTATTATGTGAAATGGGGGGGGGAATTTGTATCACTTAAACATTTTAGTGCAAAATGCTATTCCAGATTTGATTCTTTTCTTCATTTGTCATCTGTGTATCAATTTGTTTTTAAGATTTTTATCTGCTGACCTCATAATACCCATTTTGCTATAGAATGAGCATTTTAATGATTTTGATAGAAATTTATTTATATAATCATTTCATTTGATAGAACTTTAATCTTCTGAGCCGTTTTGCTTAAAAAAAACCCTTCTAATTAATTTTCACTGTACTTCTTGTAAGATGTTGCTTTCTCTAGTCACATGTCTGTGCTTCTGGACTTGTTACAAATAGGACACTGGTTATATCTTCATCCTAAACATGAACACTTGTGTTTATGTAAAGTGATTTATTTTACTAATTTCAAATAAAAGAAAATGAAAAACTCCTTTGCCTCTCAAAGCAGAATACTATAAGATCAGTAATAAAAGCTTTTAGGAAATAGATGTGGCCTTTTAACTCATGGAGTCAATTTGTTCTGTGGCTAGAATTACATCGTTATAGAAGATCATAGTTCAACTATTGTATTGCTATGAAAATTAACTATTTAGCTTAGCCTACCATCTCTTCTATCCCTGTACACTTCAGAAATTTAATTTCCTTTTTTAAATTCTAGAAAATTAAACTGAAATATTTTAAAATGTATGTTACCTAAAATATCCTTGAAATGCAAACATTTTGTATGTNGAATTTTTGAAGAGGGTTTAAACAGGCTTGGAGACATGCCTTGTCATTTTCATGAGAAACCAAGTCATTGGTGGGCTTCTTCCAAGAGTTTACCCCGTAAAACATGCTTACCAAGACTGACCCCCTGACAGATGCTGAACTGTCTGCATGGGGGTTCTTAGATCTACACTAAATATATCTCCAATCTAGCTTTTTTTTTAAACATTACTGCTTCATTTTTACAGAACATGAAAGGTAAATAAAAGACAGTCTCAAACAAAATCCTCTATTTCTAATATCATAGGAAAGCAATCTTCAGCCAATAAATTATGACCTTACCTCTTGAGTCTGAGTACTGTGTTAGGGCAGTAAGGTGGATCTTAAATGTTTTGTTTGTATGAGTTTCAGTATGCTTTCCTTTATATAAAGTTCTACCTGGGGTCTGAATAGACTCTGAGCAAGGGTTTTAGCTTCAAACAATTTTAATGCTGAAATATTAATTCCCTTCCTTTAATGTAAAAAAACTTCTTAAAAACACTGATATTTTGAAGCTGCTAGAGCTATGTATTCCTGGGAGCCTTTCCAAAACTTCTGTACATAAAAGTGTACATATATGTGAAGGTACGCACCTGTTCATTTTTATTTTATTTATTATCCATCTGTATTGCTGTGGCTGTCTTGTGAATAGAAAAAAAATAGATTTTTTGTAACTTACATTCAGCTTTTTTTTTTTTTCCTGTATGGCCCTTCTAAGTCTAATGGGAGTATGCAAGATGATTGCTGCATCATCCAACTAGAGAAAAGGGGATTCTGTGCCAGAAATGTTAGAAACATGGAAGTCAGGATGATTTAAGCCAGTGGTTCTCAACCTTTTTAATGCCGTGACCCCCAACCAGTCGTAAGTCGAGGACTAAACCGGTCGTAAGTCGAGGACTAAACCAGTCTTAAGTCGAGGACTACCCAACCGGTCATAAGTTGAGGACTTTCCCTGCCCGGGAGCGCCGCACATGCGTGGTTCTGCCCCCTGCGCCGGCCGAGGCATAGCTGGCAAGCGGCAGAGACGGAGCAGGCCGACCACCAGCTGGCCCAGCTCAAGGGAGGTAAGATACCCGCCGGAAAAGGAAAAAATGGCGGACAGCCTTGCTTGGCGACCCCCATGAAATGGTCGATCGACCCCAAATGGGGTCGCGACCCATAGGTTGAGAACCGCTGATTTAAGCCATCGTCATGAAGCTAATATAAAAATTAAACAGCCTTTGTCTCTCTCTATGCTTATGAGTCTGAATAGCTACCCAGGCAAGTCACACCTCACTTTAAGGTATCCAAATAGCTTTTCTAAATTAGAGAACAAAGATATTTGTCAATATTTGTATTCTGAAACCCTTCCCACAGGATTATCCATGAAATGGAATTAATCCAGCCTTAAAGACAAGAAAGGTCATGCACAAGAGAGACTTTAATTTGTACAAGTGCTTATGTATAACATGGTACAATACAAAAATGTGGTCCATGGTGGAGCACTTTTAGAATCCAGCTTGTTCTTGTTCAGATTTTATGCAGTCTTAAAACTTCTAATTTAGATTCTTAGTTTATAGTTTACCTAGTACACTCAGTAAACTGCTGGGTCTATAGTTAGTTGGATCTTCACTGTTCCCTTTCTTGTATATTGAGATTGTATATGGCCAGCCTCCTAGTCCCTGGGGATATGTCATGTCTAATCAATGTAGGTAAAAAGAGATGCACCATGAACAATGGATTTAAAATAATTTAGCTAGGATATAGTCAGTGCAAATTTTGGACCAACTAGTGTTCTGGGTATTCTTTAAGGTCCTGAATCTTGACCACAAAAAGTCCAGATAATTCACTTTATCCAGAGTGCTCCATCACTACCATCTCATCGACTTTACCCAGCTGCCGATAACTTGGTAGTTATTTAGCTTCTCTGGATCCAGAGATAACTTCTTCAGAAGAAGGTATCCAACAACATATTTCAAGGCAGTCAGAAACTCACCTTCCATAATGGTGCACATTGAAGCTACTTTATTGGCAATATGCTGTACAGTAAAGACCACAAGACTGTTTCCTCCCAGAATGGAATTCATCATCCAATGCAAGGCTTCTGGATGCAGCCATTTGATGCAATAAGGAAGGAGGAGTAAGCACACAACATCCCTCTTATTGCTGCAGGATCCATACCCATGCTCAATTGGATTTGCTTTTAGACTTCTTCCACTAGCATTCCAGGCATTGTTTCTGATGCTTTACCTCCCAAAGGGTCTTGATAAACCAAGGGGATCTCAGGGATCAGCCCCCCCAAAGGAGGCTACCAGGGTGACCCATCAAAGAACTGGGAAATTATCTACATGCCTTTCGGAAATCAATTTAATTCATTAGGTACTCTGGGTAGATCATATAAATTAGTTGTACAGTTGTACTAACCTGCAGAGGTCCTGGAAGGCAACCAATCACAAGTGAACTAGGTAATATTAATTGAAAAGTATCACAATAAAGGCTTTTTAGGTGTAATTAATTATTATATTTGTTCAATGCCAAATAAATAGGACTGTGGCATCAAATACTAAAATATTTTTGGTAGAAGTTTCAGAAAATTCTGCAGTTTTATACTGTATTAACATCTGGGAACATAAACCAAGAAATATTAAAAGTAAAATTGGCCTTTCCAAACCAAAAAGTG